TCTTTAATTGTACAAAAAAAATGATTTTTCCAGAAATAAAAATTTGAAAGTCAACAGAAGATTTTAAAAATCTAACCAGACCAATTACCAGGGGGAAAAGGGGGACTTTTAAAAACCTTGGTCACAGAGCTACCCCTTATATGTGGTTTCGGTTTCTGGGGTTTCAGTCACCTGAGGTCTGGTGGAAAATTCCAGAAATAAACAATTTTTAAGTTCTAAATTGCTCTCCTTTTGGAGTAGAGTGATGAAATCTCTCGTCCCCCTCTGTCCCTCCCAGAACATGAATCATGTCTTTGTCCAGTGTACCCACTGGGCATTCACTACCCCTTATTCACTTCATATCAGTGTCAGTTATCAGACTGGCTATCAGAGAGAGAGACAAGCACCACATTCACATAACTTTTATTACAGCATATCATTGTAATTGTTCTGTTTTATCAGTTTTGTTGTTAATCTCTGACTGTGTTTAATTTATAAGTGAAACTCTATCCTAGGCATGTGTGTATAGGAAAAACCATAGTATACATAGGGTTTGGAACTATTCAAGGTTTCAGGCATCCCCTGGGGGTCTTGACAGGTATCCCCTGCAGATAAGGAGGACTACTACTCTATCTAAAAAGCACTAGATGCTTACTTTCTGTGCACTGCTTTTTAATCTTTTTGACATTTCTTCACAATGACCAACTTTCCCTCTATAGCAATGACTTAATTTTCTTTTTTTATTAAAGTTTATTGGGGTTGACAATTGTTAGCAAAGTTACATAGATTTCAGGTGTACAATTCTGTAATATATCATCTGTATATCACATTGTGTTTTCACCACCCAGAGTCAGTTCTCTTTCCATCACCATATATTTGATCTCCTTAACCCTTATCTACCACCCTCCTCCCCGATTAACCTCTGGTAGCCACTAAACTATTGAATGACCTAATTTTCAACCGTGTCATTAGTTGCTAATTCGAGTTTGTTGTCTAAAATGGAATAATTTTCTTTCTGTTTTCTTAATTCTGCAAACTACACTTTCATTTTTCTTTGTTTTTCTATCTTCCTATCTATGTGATCTCTCATATTGAGTAGAATTTTCTTTTTAACTAGTATGCAACATTTTATAATAAATTGTAATCTTTTCATTGAGATATATATTTTCCTATCTGCAGTTTTTCAACTGTCTTATGCATATAGGATATGTTTCCTTTATTTTGTTTTCTCTTATGTTTTGTTTGCCATTTACTAGTCTGCTTTTTATTTCTTCATTTTTGTGGTTTTTGTTTGGTTTACTATATATAGGTAGTCTGCATAGATGACCTCCACCGCGGTGTGTGTAAATTCCTAATCACTACACTTCCATTTTACCTGAAACCTCTCTGCCTTCCTCTCTCCATTACCATCTCTGTGTCCTTTCTTTTGCACCTTAATGCAACCAGGGAGAAGAATAATTCACTTGGCACTCTGTGAATCCTTTATTTAAGGGAATACTTCAGCTTCTTCCTAAGACATTATGTTACATGTCTTATTAACAAGTTATCCATTGTTTCGCTAACTGGTGTGTATTGCTGTTGGGCTCCAATCCTCACAGACATTGAAGGTCCAGCATTGGTGTGCTGTCCCCTTTGATGATTGCATTTTGGAGGGATGAATCCCAGGCCCTTGAGGAAGACTTTTCTAAATCATAGAATACACATATTTATACCTCAAAGAGGCTGAGAAATAATTTACAATGGGGAATTTTCTAAAGTAAATGCTCTAAGAGTAGGGAGATCAGGGGACTAGAGTCAGTAAAAATTATGTACAAAGTTTAAATAAACTGAGGGAAATGTTAAGGCCATCTTGGTCAATAATGAGATGTCAACAAATAAATGCATGATATTATGCAGTACAAGAAATAGGGAGATGGGTGGCTGGTTGGGTAAAATATATAGGTTCTTATATTTATATAAGAACTCCTCCCATTAGATGGAGATAATGTTCAGAGACTTAATTGGATTAATTTAACATATCTGATGATTTAGTTTAAACACTGAGATTGTGTGAAATATATCTGAAAAAAGAGTTTAGATGACGTATGTCTGTCCGTAAAAATGGCATATATCTAAAAGATAAAATATTTATATTCATTTAGGTAAATGTTTACACTTCAACTTAGTTGTGGGAATTATAGTGCCATTTATATCAGTGATGTAAAAGCAATGTTAGAAAATTGTAGGTGTGACACATCTTATTAAAGGTATTATTGAAATATGCTGAAACAATTAAGGGATGATGTGTAAATAAACTTTAGTAGTTACGAAGATGCCACTAATGAAATGTTACATAATAGCCTAAAAATAGTGAATTTTAGGTTTTTAAATTGCTGATTTTTCTAAATTCATTTTTCATGAAATGCCATACAATTTACAAAATGTCCGTTTTACATTGAAGTGTATTGTCTGTGCTGAGAAAAGATGGTAGTACAAGTTTTTCTAAGGAAACCAAAACAAAAAAAAAATCACTTTTTTTCTGATAAAGAAAATCCATTACTTAGGTGGTTTTCTAATATAACATGATTTCCCAACTTGCAGGAGATGCTGATAGTTTTGACAATCTAAATGAGCTCAATTTGAAGATCCATACTTGCAGAGTTACTCCCTTACTTAGTACACAACTTATTAAGGAAATCGAAGGAACATATGGTCTCAACAGGCAATTTTCCTGTTATAATTTTGGTGAATTTATGAAAAAATAAGCAATGCAGTTTCTGTGATTTTTTAAATGTCGTGTTGGACATGTCAAAATGTTTCAAATTAGTTTAAAAAGCTATGCTCCTTCTGGAAAAAAAGAAAAATCTAAATTGGTTGAAGAACATTCATCATCTCCCTTAAAATGGGATTTTTACTAATTAGAGTAGGGGATATATAGGTGTTCAGCACTGACACATACAAATACGTATTTTTAGTTTTTAAAACTTACAGATCAGTCTAATTGAAGGCCATCAGTCACAGTGATTTATCTTTGAAAATCAGAGTTTTCTGGACATTGAATATACAGATTAGAGAAATAAATGTGTATAAGATTGCAATTATTATCCAGATAACCAATTTCAAAATATTGTTGAAATCAAACCGTCCTCAAATAAATTATGCATAGCTTTATAAACAGGTAAAAGTTAATATTTTACGATGTATGATTTTTAGTTAACAACATATGTATCTTGTATAATTCTAGTCAGATTGTTTTTTCTCATTCTCTAGTCCATCCTAGGATCTCCTTATTTTTCTTTTAAGCTGTATACATTAATGTTAACTCTGAACAGTAAAGTCTGGGTTTTGACAAATTTGTCATTGTATGTCCACGCTTATAGTATCATTATCATACAGAATAGTTTTATTGCCCTAAAAAAAAAAATCCCCTGTGCTTCACCTATTCAAATCTTTCTGCAATCCACTGAAACTTTCCACATCATTTGAATATATGGTTCCACATCTAGAAACAGTTTGGAAAACACTTTTGTGGAAAGTGGGGAGTCATTAAATAATTTTATATGAGAGGATAATGTGCTCATATTTGAAATTAAATACCTCACTTGCACAGTGGGGAGATAGAGAGAGTTCTGAACGGCTAAAGTCTAGACAAAATGTGATGACAGCCTAAATTATTAGAATTGAAAATACAGATTGAAAAGAGATTGAAGATGTGGAAGAATTCAGAAATACTTTAAAACTAAAACCAGGATGATTTGATGGCTGACTAGCACGGGAAAAAGAAAAAAGAAGTGCTTCAAACGTACAAGAATTATAGGTACAACCAGAACTAGGGACCTGTTATTTCCACTCTACCACAAAACAACGGTGCTTGCCCCATTTAACCACTGCTAGGGAAGTGTGAATTTTCTTGCAATTGCATCGTGCAGATTTTGGTTCTCCCTTAAAACTCCCTACCTCATACCAACTCCATGGGACCCAGTGACCTTGAGAGTCAGTGAATAATTAATAACAAGGTTGCGTCAAATGATCTTGAACAACTCCTGGGTACTGGCTTTATAAAAGGCCAGTGGGAGCCGGCTGATTAGTCGTGTTATCCTCAATTCACATTCAGCACACGCATTTGACCTTTAGTCACTCATTTTTGGAAGAGACATATTTAAGATGGGGCATTCTGTGTAAGTGTGTTGCAGCTTCTTGTTGAATGCTTCTAGTGATAGGAAGCTCTGTGTTCCGCATGGTTGTACATTTCACTCTGGGATAATTGTAACTAAGAGAGACACTTACTACTGTAATGCACACTGTAATCGTCCTCCATTTATACAACTGGTACCAGGTCAGCCTAAACTCCAGGGCTATGTAGAACACGTTATATTTCCTCTTCCACATGACACTATTTCCCAATATTTATGCAGTTTTCTTATTCACCTCCATGACTCATAATCACTTCAGTAGATTCAGTGACTCACATCACAGCACTGAGGATTATGGGAGAAATAAGTCCACCCCCTGCTGCTTCCCTTTGAAAGTGTGCAAAACCCTAGGCTTCTGTACTTTCCAACCAACACTCCCATTATCTTATTTGGATGGAAGGAATTTTTGGCTCTTTATTGTTTCTATAATGTCAGCTGCTGGCAGCTGAGCCTGCTGACACACTACCAAGTGCAACTTTCAGATAAGAGCTGTAAGAACAGGGAGAAGGTGAGTCCTTCACAGCCTGCTTTTCCTGGGAACGTCAGTACCGCCCACTCAGATGCTGTTTACAATTGTGCAATGAAGGGTAAATCCTCATCTGCTATTTGCCTCCTGTTCATGTCGCATCAAGTAGAATGCTACACATGCTCTCTCCTTTTCCAATTCCCGCCCCCCCGTTTTGTTTTTTTTTTGTTGTTGTTGTTGTTGCTCAGCTACCCAAACCATATGGATGAAGCTAGAATGGATGGCTAAAACGATAAGCTGATTTGCAGTGGATTATTTGTTTTATGCTCATTGTTTACCCTACATACAGATTGCAAAGCAAATGAGAGAGCCATCAAGTGGAGAACGAACAGGTATAGAAACTAGAACATCAACATTGATGCCAGTGTGCAAATCAGCCAGGTCAACAAGTGCTAGATCACAGGTAACTCAATCAGGAAGGGAGGCAGGTGGATTTCTTGACTTTGTCAGCTCATAAATTTCTTGACCATTCTTTTTTATTAGTTTGGTTTGGGTCCCTCATTTTACTTATGTTTTGTCACTCAGTGAAATCTTGCTAGAACCAAGTACAAATAAAACCACAGAAGTTAAATCTGCCCTCATGGGTGAAACATTTAAGATAGAGAGCCTTTGGGAAAATGCAGCATACCCTTATTTTTGTCGGGCTGAAAGTTCAAGGGTAGTAACTACTTTATGGAAATCACTTCCTACAACCCTGATTATAATATCCATCTTGTGATCTTTCCTTGATTGTCTTTTTATTTGTCTAACTCTAAGTTAAATGTTTTCTTCTAAATTGCAATTCTGTTTTATGTATAATATCAGTTATAGGTAGCCTGCTGGTGTTGTATCCAATGATGATGTATGTTCTCAGCTTACTGTCAGACTGTCTCTTTCTGCCCACTGGACATTTGAGAGAAAGAAAATGTGTTTTCAAAGACAGAGCCACAGACAATGATAAGTCAAATATTCAACAAACTCAAACTTTGTTTTCATTGGTGAAAAAAAATCTTTTCTTGAATATATTGCCACCTAATAATCTCATTTATATAAAGGCCCAATTCCTTTCAAATTAGTTTTTGCATAATGGTAAGGTGTTGACCTGCAAGACTGTAGCCACTCATGTTCCTTTAAAATGTAGATTGTCAGGGTTTTCTTGGGTACACAGGAATTCTGCCATAGCAACAGGGGACCCTTTAACTCAAGAAGAGCACTTGCCAGCTGCTGTTCTTGTGTTCAAACGTTTCCACAATCCCAGGTTCCAAAGAAAAGGAAGTCTACTGTGTCCAATATATCTAATTAGCAGAATACCTGCTAGCTTGGTCTATTAACAATGTCAGTATTTTTTTCCTTAAAATAGCTTTCAAAAAAATTAAAACATATATATTATTTGGCTGTTTTCAATTTCTGTTATGCTAATATTTGGTACTTTGTCATAGTTATTTCTTGAGAGTATTAAGTAATAATTATGTAGACAACTATGGAAAGTAAGAAAGAATACTTAACTTGAATATATAAATATTGTGCTTGAGTGCGTGCATGCATGTGTGTCCTTAGAGTCATTCTGTTTTCCTTTTTCCATAAAAAATAAAGCTTACATAAAATCCTATTGACTTGGTCCATTAAACCTTGGGCAATCAAATGGCTAATTCATTTAAGGAGGCACAGGCTGTACTGAACAGTGATTAGAGGCAGGCTCCCCGCAGGAAGACAAATCTGGGTTTAACCCTAACCCTGTCATTTATGAATTGTATGACTTTGGGCTGGTTACACTTCTGAACCTCCAGTTCTTTATCTGTAAAATGTGAATTATAACAGCACCAGCCTCATAGTGTTGTTGAGGTCATGTTATTGATCCTGTTTCAAGGAATTAGCCTGGTTTCCATGAGAGCTCAATGAATGTTGCTTTCAGTGTTTATGTCCATTGAGCTCAGAGGAATTAGGCTGAGCCCAAGCACTGTGTGCATTTAAAAATGAGAAACCAGAACTGGATATTTGATACTTTATTTTCAAAAAGAAAATAAAAAACAGGGAAGTCAAATACTTATAACAATTCATTATATTATTGTTTTAAATTTTTATCTGATGGAAATCCCAACCAACAAGGTCTTAATATATTGGGTTTAATTTCCTCATCTAAACTGGAAGTCAGGAGGGGTATTATTACTGGCATGGGTTCAGCTGATCAGTGATATCATCAGGGTTTTCTATTTTCTTGTTGCACCATATTAGGGTTTGGACCCCTGCTCTTCTGTTTCGTAATCTCATGGTTGCAAGATGACTGCTTCTGTTAAAATTCCCACGTCTGTGTTCAAGGAAGGACAAGTGTTTGAATGCATAGGGTGCGGATCACTTCTGTTCCTCCTTCATCAGGCAACAAGGTGATTTTCCACAGCCCTTCAAAAGACTTTTGCTGATGTCTCCTTGACAACATGTCTGTGTTGAATGGTTTCTCCAAGGTGTACAGTAGCTGGGAAAGCAAGTATTCATGTGGAATTATGCTCCCAAAATGTTGTCCTGGTTGTGTTAGCAGGAAAGGATCGGTGGCGTGAGCATCGCGTGAACCACTTTAGTGGATGCCAAATTAGCCATCATGGGAAACAACGGTTATTTTGTTGGACTTCCATATGCTCATTTTGTAGTTCAGTGCTTATTTTAAATTGAATTCCATATAGGGAAGAGGGACCCTTAGCTTTTCATTACATGGGGCCTTTTAAGTTTTAATTCAGCTCTGTTAGAAGGGGTTATTTATTCCACAGTTGGGATTTTTATGAGTTCTGTGTGTGCGTGCATGCACGCGTGTGTACTTGTCTTTTGCCTGAAAAAAATAAATAGGCAGGCGAAATGCCATTTGAGGACTTGTTCCTCCATCTCCTTTCATTCCACCCCTCCCCATGGTCATTGTGTCTTTCTGTTTCTCGAATATGCGAAGTTCATCCTCGTTCAATGGCACATGCAGTTGTTTCTTCAGGCTGAGAACCTTTCCTCCACCCCCTCCATTATTTAATTAATTTAGCACCTGCTTAATTTAAACATCTTACTTTATTTTTCTTCCTTTAATCACTAAGGTTTTCTTTATTATTATTATTGCTAACTTCAATGAATCAAATTGATGGAGAAATAAAATTATGAATATCAGAGTGTAGCCAGTAATTAAGTGAACAAAAGAAGAAACTTAAAATTCCTGCAAAATGAAAACTCGTGGAAAATGCATAGCATTGTTTTTTCCAAAGAATAGTGCTTGGACAATATGTAACAATTCCAGCGAAGTTCTGAAAATAATTTCCTGTCATGAAAAGATTGTTTTCAGCTTGATGAAGTAAAGTAAAATGTAATTATACACTAAACATTTTACTAATTGCAAATCAGTCATGCAGAAACAAAAATGAACACCACTTTGAGTTATATGGCTTATGATATTATCTAAGTTTCTCAACTTAAATTAGTGATCTTTTTTGTTTTATCTCAAAAATGATAGCTCTCATTGAATCGTCTCTCATTGTTTATGATATAGTTGTTGTTGTCTTACTTTTGTAATTTATTTAAATGCTTCAATTATTTTATCCTTCTTTTTATTTTGGCAAAAATATAGTTTAAAATTGTATTTGTTTTGCTATCACCTTTCCCTCCTTGAGTACCCTGCTATTCAAGAGCTGTACAGTTCTCCCAACCCCCACCACCAATCATCATAATGAGTCAAGGTGCCTGGAGGAAACTAATGATTTTATTAAACCATCTGTCTTCATTTCCATCATTGTTCACTGAAGTCTTACATTTTGAACCTCTTTTTTCCACCTACTATTACAGTACATTTTTTTTTTCCTCCAAGAATTTAGTCTTGGCTCTGCCAGCCTCATTCTGAACAAGGACCTTGGCTTCACTTACCTTCTGTAGTGTGGTTTTTAATTCTGTAAACTAACTCTGATGGAAGAGCCAGATTTATAGTCACCACAGACACAAAAATATTTTGCTGTTTAAAAGTGTATAGTATCTTTAATTCAATTTTCCCAGAGCTGGCCTTACCTTACCTTTACAAGACTAGACACTTCTCCTCTTTTAAAATTTCTGTTGACTGCACATATATTCATGTTTATGTATGCAACCTGGTAGTTGAAACCATTTCATTTCTTTTACTCACCATGTTGAAAATTGTTCCTCATTGTTAACATTATTCTTCAATATTACCCACTGATGGCTAATCCAATTATCACCACCAAACACATAGTTTTTTGCTCCTTCATTTTAGATAAAAAAATAATATTTCTCCTCTCTCTCTCTCTCTCTCTCTCTCTCTCTCTCTCTCTCTCTCTCTCACACACACACACACACACACACACACACACACACAGACTTTCTTTTGTCTTTTCTAATATATACTACACATTTAGGGGATTACAGTAAAACCTTGGATTGTGAGTAATGTGGTTTGTGAGTGTTCCGCAAGACAAGCCAACATTTCTAATACATTTTAACTTGGTAAACAAGCGATGTCTTGCAATATGAGTAGTTTGTTTCTGGAACAAATTATGCTCGCAAACTAAGGAATGACTGTAGTTGTAAAAAAATAAAAGAAGATCAGCTGATCTGGCATTTGCAACCAGCGCTCTTATTCCCTACTACCCATCCAAAAATTTACATGAACAGTCTTTAACATCCTATGAAACTAATACATGAGCTAGTTAACACATAAATTCTGATTTATATGGGCATATATGGTCAACCTAAGATGGGAGTTTCCTTCCAGAAGCTAAAGGAAAGCGGAACTGTAAGCTTCTGGGAGTGAATGCACCGTGGCCAAGGAATCAGACAGAAGAGTGGGCACCCACAGTGGATGCTTTGAATCAGAATTGAATAATGATCTCGGGAATAGCGTAGATACCAGACACTGAAATAACAAGGGTTATATAAATAAATTAAAATGGCTGTCATTAAATTTCCCTACTCTACTAACTCAGGTGATTAAGAAATATCCCATAATTTGTTTGTTTTCATTAATGGACTCCTCCAAATAATTTCCTTCAAGCCAATGAGGAATTCATTCTCAGCCATTCTTGGGGTTTTCTCTTTCCAATAAGGGTTTTCTAGGGCATACACTTCCCATTCTGTCTCTAATCTCCCACAATAAAACCAAGCATAAAGACAATATCTGCTTAGATTAAGAAAGAACAAACTATAGGAATAACATACATATTTTAATAGTCTGACATATCCTTAATTCTTATAAAAATTTTTTTAGCAAAGAAAATGAATTTCCATTCCTTGGGCCTTACCCTCCCCACTAAGAAATAGTGACTTTTGTGGATGGTCAGAAGAAAGCTTTTTAGTATAACCTGTCCCACAAACATAGAAGTGCCTGGCTGGTAGGTGATATTTTTCTAGGGATCCCAAAGAGCTCAGTAGGGGCAATTTGGACCTTGGCTATCT